GGCCAAGCAGGGTTTGTCCAGGACAATGACCTTGACAATTTGCTGGCACTGCACCAGGGTGCCTGGGGGTGTGGGTGGCGGCAGCTGCGGCAGCGGTGGGGGCTGCTCCCTCAGGGGACTAGGCTGTGGGTCTGGCAGCAACGGTGGTGGTGATGTTGATGGTGGCGGTGGTGGCTCTCCCCTCTGGACCCCCAACCTGGGGCTGTGCTGGGACGTTTGAAGCCTGTTGTGAATTGACACCTAGTTTAGAAACAGCCAGAGAAGCGTGACATGTTACCACTAATTCCCAGCTGCTGGGGCTGGCCACCCAAGCCTCCCGGAGCCTCCCTTCAGACTTCTGTCTACCATCCATAGGACGCTCTTAGCCTGGTGTAGACCCCATGCTGGTCTCTCCACCCACAGGGAAACTGCTTCTAAACTCCATGGTTATATGGAGATGGCCTATGACAGCCATGGTCCTCCAGACCCCAGGCTCTTGTCTGTGAGATGGTTCCACAGGGCAAACTCCTCCTTGTGTGCTCTCTACCCTCTGAGCTTAAGAAACAGGGCCATCCTCCTGGTGTGGGGTATGATTAAGGAGGAGGTCTCATCATTTAAATTGCCAGCAAGGTGCCTGAGCCCAGGATGCCAGGGGACCTGGAAGGGGTCCTGTGAACCTAACCTGTCCTTCTATACTCCCTGACGCCAAGACCCTTGCATTTGAGAGCTGCTGAGACAGCCAAGAATGGGGTCAAGTCCTCATCATTTTCCTGTCCCGTCTGGTTAGATCTGCATGTTACGGGGCAGAGATATGGAGAGCCCGCACCTTGATTCCTTGCATGGTGACCCAAACAGACTCGCTGTAAGGATGTAATGTTAGAGTTTGGACTAGAGTTGCTGCTCGGGCTCAGTACCTGCGGCAGCAGCCTTCCCCTTCCCCAGACACTGAGAGGTGCCGCAGAGGGCATTACCTCTGAGTATTAGTCATACATCCTTGACTCCTGCCTGCGAATCAGAGAGCCTGATGGCAGGCCCATGCCCCTTCAGATGGCTCTAAGAGAGTCCCACTCTTCTGCCATGTGGGGCCCTGATTCTTCTCTTCAGATTCCCACTGTCTGTCCTTGGTGCTGGGACCTTTCTTTAGAGCCCCGCCATGCTCTTGTCCATCTGTCTCTGCCCAGGGTATCAGTAACTCTTCTAATAAACTCCTTACCCCACAACAATCTGTCCCCCTTGAACCTGTGTACATTTCACTCCTGAGCGGCCCCCATAGATAGGCCTGGGAGTAGAAGTCATCTAGCCTCCTCTTGTTAGCAGAAGACGTAGAGGAAGTGGACACAGGGAAGGAGAAAGATTTAATTCTTCATCCTCTTCTAACTCATCCCCCCCCCCATTTTCCTAGCTGGTAGTAATGACACCACCATCTTCTCCAAACACGTGGGCCTTCCAGGGGAGACTGGGACCCTTGTGTCTGAAGATGTTTTCTATGGGGCCTGTCTGTTCACAAGTACCACCCTGTAGGGCCAGCTTCTCAGGGCACAGAAGAGGATGCTGAGGCCACAGGAGACCTTATTCTAGGCCGAGGCCAGAACAGCTCCCACTGTGTCAGAGGCCCAGAGCAGCGTTTATCAGTCCGGTTCATTGCCTGAAGGTGTAATCTCAGATCTCTTTCCTAGACTTGTGCAGTCTCCCATCAGACATTGCCCCTCAAGTTTCTCTGCCACAAGGCTCCCTGCCCCCACCCCAGCTGCCCTCACTCTCCATCTGGGCAGCATCGCCCAGGCCTGAGGTCACCCTCGATGAGGTGTCCAGAGTCCTTTGCTGTTGATGCACACAGGCTACAGAGGGCATGGCCAATGTCTCTGTCCTCTCTAGGGATGCCATAGGCAGAAGACCCATGTCACCACTGCTAATGCAAGGCCCAGGCTAACCTCATACCTACTTGTTTCTGAACAATTCTCTACAAGTGGCCTGAGACAGCCTGACCAGGCTCACCCTCTCTGCCTTCCAATCCCCATCTTACAGGCACCCTAGGTCTGGTGCACCAATGCTGGGCTACCCAATTTGGGGCAAGTGAGTCTTCCTTCTGCTTCCTCCCAAGTGGCTCCTACGTAGCCCTCAGCTGGCACACAGTCTCCACTTTCCTCTATCTGCATGCCAGTCCCACCCCAGCCAGATCCTTTACGACTCCGTAAGTTAAAAGCCAGAAACAGAGAGAGAGAGAGAGAGAGAGAGAGAGAGAGAGAAAGAGAGAGAATGAACATGGGTAGCAGTTAGGATAGCTCAGAGAAGGTGAAAGAGTGCCTGCCGTAGGGGCTTGGCTAAGCAATGCCGGAGAAGAGGGAGCTAGGGCCAAGCCGAGAGGCTGTGGGGTGGCCAGATAGCCTCTGCTTAGGGAAGCAGAGGCTGGCAGGATCCCTGGAGCTAGCTGGAGGGGTGGGGCAGCCTTGCAGATAGCCACGTGACCCCTTTGGGCAGGTACGAGGGAAGAGGGGCATCATACGGCTGGTCCTCCCTGGGTAGCCCCAGGAGGATGCGATGGAGGATTGGTGGCTAGGGTTATCTGCAAGGCTGAGAATGGGCAGCTGCGGGAAGATGCGGGCGCAGGGCAGGGGATGGAATACCCACCCTGGGGGCTGGTCAGCTGCTGGGGCGGGAAGCTCCTCCGGGTAAAGGTGCCTCCTCCAGAAACACGTGGGGGGTGGGGTGCAGGGACAGAGAGAAACTGAACTCCCAGGTATCTTGTGGCTCCCCAGGGCTTGGCAGGCATCTGGGTGGGCTTCTCCCTCACATCTAGGGGATCCCTTCTGCTAGTGGGTGGGAGAGGACTGTCTATGAGCAGCTGGTGGTCCTCAAGGCCTGGCAGCCTTGGAGAGGGTCTGAATGGGAGGCAGTGTATGCTGCCTCTAGGGGCCTCTTTGAGTCGGGCAGGAGCCAGCTGCTACTTCTAGGTTCCCTTGTGGCTTGGAGATGGCAGCCTCTCCTCCAGTGAGGAGGGTCTTTAGCTTTATCAGCTCATCCCCCAGGAAAAACTGTGGCATCTCAGCCCTGTTCTGCCTCCCTTTCTCCTGGGCTCATCCCATGACATAGCCAGCTTTTCCAGAGACTACTCCAGGGAGAAATTCCTTCTCACTGTCTCAACCCCACTCCTCCGGTTTCCCCAGGAGGTATCCAAATGTCCCTAGGAGTGATCATGGAGGACTTGACTTTAGGGAGGACTTTCGGAGGGAGCCCAGGCTCCCTATGAAGGGAGTGGGAGGACTTCGAAATGGACCATTGAGCTTCTGATACAGCACATATTTGGGGGGCACTGAGCAGTGTGTTGGGTGTGCAAAGAGCATGGAAGGAGGGGCCACGTTGTGGGTTCATCTCCCTGGTCTGATTTGGGAGCTTGGCCCTGGAGGGCAGTGGGCCGGGTTGGCTGGCTGGGGAGCGGTTTGGCAGTGCTTGCGGCTTAACTAGGCGCTGGAAGAGTGGAGTTACCCATGCTAGCAGTAACTTTTAATTGTATCTCTTGAAATTGGTAAAATGGTGAGTCGGGCTGGGGAGGCATTGATTAATACCTGAGAAGAGAAACAACAGAGACGGTGAGAAGAGGGACAAGGGGTCACAGGATCACTCACCTGGATGCCACCAGGCCTCCACTTACCTCCCCCGAGCTCTCCGCCGCTTTCTCGCCTGCCATCGCTTCCCTTTTGGCTTTGAATGCAAACAGCACAGAGCTCATTCTCCACCAGTCCTGCCTGGAACCCTTGGCCCTCCTCCTCCCCATCCAGCATCTCTGGCCCCTAGTGGTGTGTGTAGCAAGACTGCAGGTGCCACACAGTCCACTAGGGTACTGCCTGGCATAGCAGGCTGGCTATCAGGAGCCTCATTTGGCCACTCAGTAGCTGTGTCATTGTGGGTAGTACGCTGTACCTCTCTGGGCCTCCACAGACTAGGAGGCCTCTGGAATTCCTTCTGAAATTTGCACTGTGGAGCCATTTTCTCCCATGCCAATGCGATCTGGGAAAGCTGGCTTTTGAGTGGGCCCTGACTTGTGGGCACCATGTAAATCTGCCTCCTTCCACAATAGGTCTCTTGAAGGAGGGGCTGTCATTTGCCATGGTCACTGTGACTTAGGGGAACTGAGGAGATTTGAGGATCTAAAGTCCCACAGCGCACCCACCACAGTGCTTGTCATCCATGGAGCCGCTGACAGCCTGTAATTAGGACTACAGCTTCTTGCCACCTGGTGTGCACCAGGGACCCTATGAACCCTCAGGAATGCCTTGATGACTCTTCCTAAAGTCTTCTGAAGCTTAGCCCCTTGAATTTCTCACTCCTCATGCCCAGGGTGGCAGTTTTCAACCCTCTGCTTCCCAAGGAGCAAAGGGAACTGCACAGTCATGGGCACCGTGGTCAAGACCCCGAGACACTCATCTAGATTTGACCGGGGCTCACAGCTCCCACAAGAGAAACCGGAAGGATAAACATCTCAGCTGAGAACTGGTGGTAAAATGCAGGCGGCCCTGAAAATGAGCTGTGACCCACATCCTGAGCCCTTATAAAGTAAAGTTTAGGTGGATGGAGAGTTCCCGTAGCATATAGATGACAACTCAGAGAGATGCTTTCCACATCACAGAGCCTGAATGGCATGTCTTGGTTGGTGCAATCAGTCCCTGGGATGCTGTCTATGCTTAATCTAGCATTATAACTAGCTGTAGAAGAGTGGGGGTACTTGGGACTGTCAGAGTCCACTGTCTTCCTTGCTCAAGTGGCTGGGGATGCTCAGTGCTCATGCTATAAGCTTTGAGTATGGGGTGTGAGACTGAATGGATAAGCTAATGCCCGAGCTGTGTGTGGGGTTTCTGGGTATCCCCTGTTCTTCTAATTTCTCCTTATAAGGGTGCTGTGGGGGCGGGGGAGGGACAAAGCCCACCTTCCACGCTTCCTATCAGTGGGCAAAACCAAGGTAGCTGACAGAAAGGATAGAGTCAGGCTGGCATAAGCAGGCTTTCAGGGCTGAGCAGAGGGAAAACTAAGTCCTAAACTCATTCCGACTCCACTCGCCTAGTGGGGAAACAGAGTTTGAGGCTCATCTGGATAGAAGCCAGGACATCAGGGCTCTTGGCCTGACTCCAGGGGCAAGTGGAGACATTTCACAGACAGCCCTGCCCTTTGGGACAGTTTACAAACTGGATATATTTCTCTGACACCTTATCTCCACCCTGAGCTAAGGACTAAAGGTTAAAGATGAAAGCCTGGGACTGCTCCATGGAAAGAAAGAGCTGGAAAACAGCATGCCCCACCCAAAGCCCCCAGAGCCAGGTGCAGGACTGTGGTGGCCTCTGCATGGGCTGGGTAAGGACAGAGCCCAGTCTCACCTGTGGGTGATCCTTGCTTTGACTGGGGGTCCCCCTGGACTCCAGCAGACTCTACAGAGAGCGCCTTTGTTCCCTGCTGCTTCTCCAGTTCCCCTAAAGGAGGGAGAAACTGTGAATGGAGGTGTCCCCCACATGGACCCCCAGCCCTGGGGAGAGCCAGAAGAGGGAGAAAGGAGGACCTTTTCCTGCCCAAGCTGACAGGGACTCCAAGTTGGGCTCGAGCATTGAGAACCAGTTAAATCTCTCTGGGAGCTGTATCTGTGAGTGGTGATGGCAAGATTTGCTTGACTGCCTGAGGGGCCTTGAGAGACTGCTGTGGGACAGGGAGGCAGATGGCTGGAGTTGACACCCTAGACTGATGGTTCTTAGGTAGGGTACCTAGCATACTCTGCCTGGCTTGAGGAGACAGCTGGGCCCACTGCCCAATGCCATTTGGAAGATCATCTGAGGTAAGACACACAGAACAAGGCCTGACTTGGGTAAGTGTTCCATACATTAGCACTAGGACAGTGTGCAAGAAAATGCAACATGAGTTCCCTGGGCACAGTTAGTGAGATCCTAGCAGGATTGTCCCCTTGCCAACCCCAGCTGCTGAGTTTCCTGCAGGGTGTTCAGTGTTCCCCCAAGGGGTAGATTCTGTAGCCCATGTGGCTGGAATAGATGCCCCAGTTGGTCCTCCACTGGAGCCTCTCTGCACTACCCACTATCCTGTTTATTCTCCCAGTGGCTCTAGGGAACTGCTCATTGCTGTCCGTGTAGATTTGACAGGTATTATTAAAGTGTTCTCTCAGCTTCTTGGTTCCGTGGGACATGACTCAAGTTTCCTTTATTAAAACTATCCACTTGGGTTTCATTTGCTGTTTCTCTAGCTGTCTAGAATTCAGGGATACTGAGCAGGAAGTGTCCAGACCAGCAGTTTGTGCTTGTTGCCAGAACCACACCATCCATCACGTCAGTGCATTCTTACTGAGTTACTTGCTTACTGGCCCAAGGGTCCCTCCTGGCTTTGGAGGACTTAGTGCTATAATTATACATGAATCTAGAGAGCCTGGGTGTGATGCTCATTGCCATTTACGGTGGACTCCCTTCCACAGCTCTGCTGGCCTCAGTTGCCTTGCTTTTGAGAGGAAGAGAACAATGTGCACACATGGGGAGTTGTAGGGATTAAATGATGGGTCCTGTCACCTCCCAGTGCCAGGTGGGTAGCAGGCACTTAAACGGTGGCTACTGGTGGCCTCTGTTTACCTCCTTCTGCTCACTTCCTCTCCTGTCTGCCTCAATGGGCAGCCCTTTCTGTCATCCGTTCTTCCATTTTGTCGTCATCTGAAGACTGAGAACCAGCAGCTCTACCTATGTTCCTTTCAGCTTTCTTGTTCCCAGGCAGCTACTGAAGCTGGTTTCTCTCTTACTTAATGTAATGGACTCTGACTGGATCTGCACCTCTACTGCTTTGAGAAAGGATGCCCTGGGGCTAGAAGAAAGGTTCTCTCCCTCAGTACAGCTGAACCAGGTGGCCAGTGGCTCTCTAAGCAGTTGGAGCCCTTTGTGACATTCTGACCAGGAGAAAAGTAAATCCATTTCAAGGCACACCTTGGAGAATGTTCAAGAACAAATAGCCGCCCTGGGCCGCTATGCCACTAGTCCAACCCCTGGAAAGAGTCTGTCTGTAACATTTCTGAGTCCAAATGAACCAGCACCACACAAAACCAGCATGTACCCAATGACTAGCACCCCCTTGGCAAGCAGCATCCTGTGTTCTGGGTTTCACTGTAGCCCAATTTTGAGTTATTTTCTCAGGAGATTATACACAGAACCTCTTATTTCAGTCTCACAGTAGAAAGACCGTGAGGCTAAGCACTAGATTCAACTGCATATGCCATCCCTGCCTGTGTTAGCACTGGATACCTTCTCAAAGGGGACAAAACAGCCACCTTGCAGGCGACTGCGAATATAAGCAGAATATAGCTGAACCACCTTACCCCTCGGTCTCATGGGTCAGCTCCCTGGGCTGTTCTGGCCAATGCAGCCATGCTGCATGCTGGCCCTCTCTAGGTGAGAGAGGCTCTTGTACATCCCACATGGCTAGCAGGTGTGCATATCCATGTGTGTCCCCTGGGAGGCAGGGCTCAGTTCAGTTGTGAAGCAGCGAGCCCACATTGGGATGGGATGCCGCAGCAATGTTAGGAGTGGGTGGGAGTGAGGACCAGGCCGGGGCACAGCAGGCATGGCGGTTCTCACGAGGCAGGGGTAGGTGTGTATGCAGGCTTCCTCTACCTTTTGGACCCCATCTGTCGGTCTTAAGAACTGGGGCCCATCCTTACACTCTATCCGGATCTGCTCCAGCTCTGTCACCTCAGCAATGGACTCCTTCAGGTCCTCCACAAACTTTTGCATCTCGTCGGAGCCGAGGGCGCAGAAATGCAACACCTGCTTCTTCTCAGAGCCCGCGAGTGGCGTTGCCAGCGTGATGCCATGGGAGTAATCTGGAACCCAGCCACACCCCAGCAGTGAGTACACCACAGCAGGGAAGCTGGGGCAGCGGGGTTCAGGGAAGAAGCTCCCACCCTCCAGGCCCCTGGACTCACACTCATTTTCAAAGAGGTGAAAGCGCATGCCCAAGAGGCCGACTGCCTTGCAGAAGGTGTACGTGAAGGAACTCTTCTTCTTTGGACACAGCTTGAGAATCTGCCCAGGGGAGGCACAGAAACAGATGAGGGGCTCCTGTAAATACGTGTGCACACAGGCAGGCACCAACACCCACAGACACTGTGAGCAATGCCAGTACCTATGCACATCAGACACAGTCACCCCCCACACACTTGGAACGATACACATGTGCCACCCCTGCTTAAAACCCACTCGAGACCATTACTTCTGCATTAGAAGCCTTGGCTTGCAAGTCCTCCAGGATCCAGCCTTTGCCCATGCTGACTTTATGTATGCTGCCATCAGCACTTTATAGATTTCATAGCATCCCTCCCATTGGGTATGGTCTCATTCATTTGTTTCCTTTCTTTCTTTCTTTTTTTTTTTTTTACTCGGTTTTTGTTTCTGCCTAAAAGGAAGAAACAGTTGCTCAAATATATAAACTTATATTTTATTTAGTAGCTCTTACGAGCAGGGCACCGCAGATGCAGAGGGATAGATGCGACAGAAAGCCTTTTTGTTGTGTGATAGGGGAGGGAGACAGCTAAGGAGACAACCTTTCTACCCACCCAACAAAATCAAAGCAAGGCAAGGAACAAATGGGGTAATTTCAGAAACTTGGGAGTGTTCTGAAGGGAGTAAAATAGGATTAGCAATTGAAAGTGCTTGGGTAGACTGCCTTGCTTGCACAAGAGGCCACCCAGGGAGGCCACGTTCAATTAGAGACCTGCTTGAAGAGAGGGAGGTGACCACACCCAGAGGAGCTTTTGAAGGGAAGAGGCCACCAGAAAAGAGGTCTGGCTAGTGGGAGGCAGCTCCTGGGGCCAGGGTGTTAGAGCAACCTAGGGTGTGCAGCAAATGAGCTCAGAGACCTCTGGGGTTGGGGGAGCCTGGGTGACGAAGGATCAGGCTGGAGCCTCGTAGAGGGAAGGCCCTGATGCACACTCCAGAAAGGTACTGAGGCTCTGTGGAATGACAGGAGACAGGAGGGACCTAGCGTTTTAACATCCTGTACTATACAGACGCATTTGTACTCCATACTGCAAAAGGGAGCCAGCATGTGTATGTTATCACTGGCTGTCCACATATATGAATCTGAGTTAAGCTCCTCCCCCTAAACCCTATGCACCTGCAGGAATACAGGGTTTATACAGACAGTTACTAACTAGACTCAGTGTTTCAATGAGTGCCTGAGCCTGCGCTTTTACCATGTAAGGGAGGGGGCCAAGGGGTGGGAACTGGGGAAGCAGGGACACCACAACCTCCTCAGGGGCTGCCTGACCAGGGGGGCAAGACTGAGCTCCAGAAGAAGACTCACTGCCTTTGTTGCCTCTTCTGTTCCCCCTCTCCCCGTATAACCTGCTGGGAGAAGACTGGATGGAAGACAGGTTTTTAAGATGCTAATCCACTGTCTTCCAGATTATCAGTTCTGTGAATAAAGCAGGTTTAAGATTCACTTTCCATCTCTTCTCATTGGCTCTGCCAGAGACAGGCACCAAGTACTCCTGTGTTACAGAAAGAGGACCTGAGAGTCACTGGGCCAGCATGTCAGGTGGAGAGAGAGGTGCTTCTCGGGGATCCTGCGGTGGTTTCCATGTTACTTACAGAGAAGGCCAGAGAGTAAAAACCTGTGGGAGCTCACCACCCTGCCTGCTTCTTGGCACTTAGGTCAATTCCTGGCACAGTGGGATGGATTAAGGATTTATTTGTGGGACACTTGTTTTCAGAGAGAAATACACCATACATACATGTGCACTATCTCTAGATTCTCCCTGGGACCAGGGACAGTGGCCCTCTGCTGACCTTCCAGATAGGAATGTGATGCCAATACTGTGTGCCTTGCCCCAAGTTTTCTGTATCATGGAGAGGCAGGTCGCTGGGGTCCCGCTCATTTTCACTTTGACCTGTCTCTCTCTGTGCTTCAGATTCATGGCTTATCAAGTAGGGACTAATATATCCCCCATGACTACAGTCTTGGTCTACCCGCCCAATGCCTCCATGCTTAGCCTTGCCCTGCCCAGTCCAGTAGACAGGGACTCAGGACAGCACCAGCCTCAGCTCTCCCCTGCCCAACCCTGGGCCTGTATCTCACCACCAGCAGATCATTGAAGAGGAACACTTCTCTCTGGTGTGCAGCCTGTTTCTGGAGCTTGTTCACATCGGTCACCTCGAAGAGCCGGCTACAGCAGACCAGGCGGCGGTGTGGCATGGACAGCACCTGGAACCCAGACAGGGCTCTGTAGCGAAGCCCTAGAGACCCCAGGGCTCTCCTCCCAGCCCATGGCACCCATTTTCCAGAAGAGGAGATGGAGATCCAGGGAGTGGGCATGGGCTCTACTCCTATGCAAAGGCCAGTGCTTGATACTCAACCTCTCATCGGGGGGCCTCTGTTCCCTTCATCACACTCTGGGGCCGCAGATCCAGAGAAGGGATTCATTATTTTTAGGTAGTGAGATCACGGGATGGGGAACCAAAATGGAAACAGGCCTCCAGAGTTTTCAAAATCTGTCAGCCTGTCCCTCCTCTGTGACCATGCATGTGTGAAATCACTACCCCTTTCTTTACTGCACACCCAAACACAAGTGTGCAAGGGAAAGGGGATTATGAGGACCCCAGAATCCTCTCTAGTAACTCAGATATCAACTGGCCTGCAGAGCTGACAAATGCCGAGTCCTCAATTTCAGAGGCTCGGAAGTGAAGTTCCTTCCTGCACAGTTCACAAGCAGAGCTCAAAGGCACTTTCCAGTAGGAGGGATAGGAACCGGCCTGCCTCACCTACACCCAGAGTAAGGTGCCAGGAGCACAGTGTGCCACAGAAGATGCCAGCTTTAAAACTCATTGCACATTAGAACGCATTGCCTGGACCCAAGGTTGCCACAACCTACAGTCTAGGTAGCTCATTTTTGTGCCTTCTACCCACTAGGGCCATCCAGGAATGACTGCCATCCACTGCTTCCTATGAGGGGCATCCTAACCTTTCTTAACTGGTCATCCACATGCTTCAACCTTAGATCATTGGCTGACACCTCACCCTAGTAATAGCAGCTGGTGTCAAGAGGGATGAGATGATTATGCAAAGGAAGAAAGAGGATTGGAGAAATGTCAGGAAGAAGGAAATGACAGGAGACGGGAGATGGCTGGTTGGGTAGCCTGCCATGGAGAGGAGGTTAAGAGCTGTGGGGAGCTGAGTGCTGCTTTGCATTGGTACTTACCGTCTTCATGCCCACGATGGACTTCTCCACCTTGGTGACATATGTGACGTGGTCCTCATTGGATTTGAGCTCCTTCTGCTGGATCCTTTCATAGATGCCTACCACCAGCTCTCTGGGGATGTCAGCACCATCATCCACACCTACCAATTTGGAAGGAAGGCTCAGAGCCTCAGACAAGAGGGACAAGATTTCTCTCTACAGGGGAGCACCAGGAAGGTGGCATTGGTTGTGTTTTGTTTCTGACCTAAAGCTTTTAACAGTTGGTTCCCTCCTCCCACTAAAGGAGGAATAGATTTTTCAGTCATGTCTGCTAATGTCCTCTGTTCTCACCTCCTAGACCTCTTTCCTGTGGTCCCTACACTCCCATTGAGCAACCTTGTTTCTGCACTTCTGTTGTCTTCTGTGCATTTACCTTGACCTCACTCAGTGTCGCCCACGAGCATGCCGTTCACCTGTCTTGCGTCTTTGGGGTCTTTTCTCTCTGGGACTTGCCCTCTCCTTCAGCAGGGGACATGGTATCAAGAATGGGTACCGTGAAACGGTGGAATTGGCGGTAGGTGTCTTCCCTCACTGGGAGCGGAAGAGCTGAGCAGGATGCAAAGAGGAGGTTGATGCCTTGAGGTGGCACAGACAGTGAACCCCCTCTGCCTGTTCCCCAGTGTTACATCGTGGTAACATTTGGAGGGCAAAAAGGCTATCGGATGGAAATAAAGAGTAGTGTGATTGTGGGAACAAAGAGTGAGGGAGAAGACATGAGAGGCAAGGCTGAGGAACGTCTTCCAGAAAGCTAGCCAAGAAAATGTCTGCATGGAAAACTCCTACACACAGTAAATGAAATAGGAACCTGACACCTAGGTTACAGGAGTTCAAGAAAGAGTGATAAGAACACAGAGAAGGCAACTGACCCGTGCGGTGCACTGAACTGCTTCTGAAGCTTTGCTTCAACCAATTGTCAATCCAAAGTATTCTGAGAACTGCATCTGTCCCAAACATGTACAGATGTTTTTTCTTGTCTTCATTCTCTAAATAATACAGTATAACAACTGTTTTCCTAGCATTTAAGTTGTATTGGGCCTTAAAAAACTCATCTAGAGATAACTTAGAGTATAAAGGAAGGTGAAGGACATATACCAATATATGTACTCTCTCTCTCTCTCTCTCTCTCTCTCTCACACACACACACACACACACACACACACACACACACACACACACACAGAGAGAGAGAGAGAGAGAGAGAGAGAGAGAGAGAGAGAGAGAGAGAGAGAGAACTTGAACACCCAATAGGGTCCTGGAAACAATTCCTTGCAGACATGGAAGAATAACTACGTATCAGAAAACTTCACACAGTTGGGCTTGTGTTTTTAGACTACAATGATTGGCTCAAAACTATAGTGGATGAAGAAAAGCATATCATTGTGAAAACTCTCTACACAGAGACAACCAGAAGATCCCAGAAGCTCTCAGACAAGGAGGAAAAATAACCTTCCAAAGGCCAGGAACTGGATGACAGAGCAGCACTTCAGCTAAGGCTGAGCAAATGCCCACATCTAACATCTAACCTATGCATTTCCAGGCTGGGGTTCTGTCCCATCTAGCTCCCAGGCACATGGGAAGGCAAAAGAAGGTAGATTCAAAATGCAGGTTACGGTTTTGTCTCCAATGTATTCTTTCTTTGGAAAACAACTAAAAATGTGGAAGCTGTGTGATGTCCAGGAACCAGGAATGTGGCACGGTAGATGTCATTGTGACACTGAGAAGGAGATGAAACACCTAGGGTACCACGAAGATCTGAAAGACTGACACTCAGGATATGGTCAGATGTTTTAGTGGTAGAAACATAGGAAACCAAATCGAAAGCAAAGGCAAGTGCCAACTCCAAGGAAGTTGGAAAAACTGTAGCCATAATACTCTCAAGATTCAGCTTTGGGCTGTGTTCACTGGGCTTTCCTATCCCAGCTCTGTTTTTAGTGGTGGTGCATGGAAAAAAACCTGAAATTTAAACAATGCTTAAAATAAAAAATTACCACAGTATTTGTACTCCATTTCTATATCTCAGGGGGTGATAATAAGAGTCCTCAATAGCATTGGATAAGATGATGCTAAGCTCAGGAAAGTGTCTAAGGTGAGACGGATGAGAGGGAAGGTTCTGAGTAATGGAAATGGCCAGTTTGTAGACACAGGGGTGACCACATGTGTGTCCGTGAATATAAACTCTTGTCATTTTTATACATCTTTATAGTCTGTGTTTATAACAAGGGATAGGGATAAAGAAACAACATGTCATTTATTGATATGGAAGGGACATTAGACACATAGCAACAGGCTGGGGATGTAGCTTGGTGGCAGATGGCTGGCCTAGCATTCAGAAGTCCCTGGTTTCTATCCCAACACCATAAAATAAATCAATAAACAACTAAAAACTATTGAAAGTGTGGCTTGAAGGAATGGCAGTGGTGACAGGGCAGGTTCTATTTTTTTTTTGTTGTTGTTTTGCAACAAACCTTGTAGAATTATTTTACTTTATTAAGGTCATACGTGTATAACTTTGATTATTTTTTGTTTTAATTTTTGGAGACAGGGTATCATTCTCAGCCCAGGCTGACCTTGAACTCACTCTGTAGCCCAAGCTGGCCTTGAACAAGCAGCAATCCTCGTGTTTTATCCTTCCAAGTGCTGAGATTATAGGTGTGCAGTATCACTCCTAGCACTTGGATTTTTTTAATGCCCAAAGCTATCCATGTTACATACATTATATGCTGGTAGCTTAGATCTAGTCCCTGTGAGAGGTGCATAGTAGCAATTTGAAAGGTTTCGCTGGCAGGTGCTATCAAGTGACATGCAAGGCTGAATTCAAGGAACTCAGAACTGGAAAGCCTTATTCCTAGTCTCTTTCCTCCTAAGTCATGAAGGTCTGGTCCCACCCAGATACCAGTCTAGTGCCAATGGCCTGGAGGTTACCCAGTGGAGATGGTCCACAGTACACAGAAGACAGAAGGCAGAAGGCTGTAGGGCCCTGCTGCTTTGAATAGGGCTGTGGTACCTGGAGACTTTCCCAGCCTGCTAGGGGTGGCTGGGTCCTCAGGAACAAATAACGTCTACAATTGGGGCTCACATTCACAGAATTAACATGAACAAGGCCAGGCCACATTGAACAGCATCCTTACTCCCACCTACCCAGCCCAGCTTCTTACCTCGAAGGTTTCGGATAAAGTCTTCTAGCATCATCTTCCGGTCAGGCTTGATGTTGGGGCTGTACATGTCAGTGTTGAGAAGGATGATGGCAAAGGCCAGGATGAAGATAGTGTCTGGGTTGTGGAACTGCTGCACCACCTCAGGGTTGCACATGCAATAGCGCTGGCTGTGGGGGCATGGGGCAGGACCATGAGCTCCCCAGCCCCAGCTCTTGAAGAGTCTGGGTACCAGGGAGATCACTGGCTGTCCATCCCCCCCAATACCCACCTCCCATGTATGCTCAGTACAATGGGCTGGCTGTAGCTGAGTGAGGAGCATCCCATCTGGCTCCCAGTTTGGAGGATTCACTAAAGGATTCTGCTCTTGTTTCTTCCAGCTCACCTTCCCAGCTATCCCAGAAGGGCTTCACCCAGCTCAGTGTCTCTGAGCCCAGAATCATGGCACCTTTTCTTCACCACCTCTGCTTCCCAGGAATTGGGGATGTTTGGAGCATCGGGGAAATGAGGTGGCAAAGGACTCTCACCTGAAAGCCTCTATGAGTCGCTCTACCTTCTGGGCTTCTCCCTGCACGCGGATGTGAGCTTGAAACTTCCTCAGGGCCTCATCCAGCTCCATGTTGGAAAAGTCCATTTCATCTACCACACAGCTGAGGGCAAGCAGGAGAGGCTTGTGAGTAAGGCCAGTCCCCTTCAACTCTTCTGGAGCTGAGGGGCGAAGTGAAGCCACCCTGGAGGGGTGGGGGGACCTGGCTGGCTTCTAGCCAGGAAGGAATGGAGGAAGTCTTACAGCTTTGCTCATCCCTCTGGGGTCTCCTCCAAGTCACCAGGAGGACAGAATTCTCCTTCCACCTCTCATCTCATGCAGCAGCTCGGGAGGCAAGCTACTGCTGTATTCTGTTTCACAGCAGAATACCCGAGGCCTAGAGTGATGAGCTTTTGTGCAATATTTGTTTAACTATGCAAAGATGTCTTGCATTTGCTTAATTATGTAAAGATGTGTTGCTCTTTTACCTTGCCTGCCAAAGGCACCTACCTGATTGGTCTAATAAAAAGCAGAATGGCCAATAGCAAGGGAGGTATATAAGCAGAGCTTCTAGGCAGGGAGAACAAATAGGAGGATGAATTTAGGCTTGGGGAGAAAGAAAAGAAGGAAAAAGAGGAGACAGAGGAAGAGAGGGAGACACCAGGGAGATGCCAGGGACCAGACAGATAGACATGGGAAGAAGGAAAGCAGGACCTACAAAATGAAAGAAAGGTAAAAAGCCCGGAGGCAAATGTATATGAATAGCAACAGGTTAAATTAAGTTATAAGAGCTAAGGGGACACACATAAGCTAAAGGCCAAGCTTTCTATAATAAGTCTCTGTGTCTTTATTTGGGAGCTACTTAGCAGCCCCCCAAAAATGACAACTACAATGAGCTGGTGCCCAGTACCACATCAGTGGTGGAAGGCTGAGCTCAAGCCTTTCTGCTCTGGATCCAGCCTGTAGGATCTGAAGGTCAAACAGCACTTGTAAATGGGACAAACCTTAGAAGGTTTAAGCAGAAGGATCATAAATAATCCTACCTCTGAAAAAAAATGGGTGGAGATAAATGTTATATAGCATATATCCTATCAAGACTGTTTAGGAGTCACTTTCTCCCCAGTGGCGTCTCCAAGTGGGTGAGTCTTTCCAGCACCCCCTTATCCTCAGGCTGCCTGGAAAGGACAAACCCTACACAGAGTGTTTCCCCTGTTTGACCACCCCCTCACTTCCTTTTTGGGTGCTCTATTCCCAGGGTCTTATGTGGGGTGGTGGGAATCTGGGCATGGTCATGCATCAGATCTGACACTTCCAACATTAAGCCTTCCTGCCAAGAGAGGCCTATCATGATACGTCGTGACCCGGCATGTCTCAGTCTTAACCCATGAGGTTGTCCTGAGTGGGAGGGTGTGGACCTGGAAACTCCTAGCAACCCAGCGGTGATAGAGACCAAACACAGGCGTCTTGTCATCTTTAAAGAGCTCTGAGTTCCATGTTGTAAAACTAGAGTCTTTTTTTTTTATTTGCCATCTTTTCGACTGTTTCTTAACCATCTTAACCATCCTGCCATGACCACAGAGGAAACCATTTCTGTCCTTCTTCTCTCCTCTCTGGTTGCCCCGAACTCCTCTCCTCACTTGTTACTCACACACCTCACACCTCCGCCCAAGTACAGGCCTATTTAGATGCTTAGGCACAAGCCAGCTGCAAACTCGCAGGCATCCTGTACTGAGGCTATGGTAAACAATAGTAGATTTGCTAGTATTAGCAATACAATAGTGGGCCGGAGCTTTCGGGTGCTCCTGTTTAGTGAAACCCAAGGCTGGATCTCAAAATATTCCATAGCAGAACTATTTTGGTCCCCCACAATGATATGACTGGTGGGTGCCCACAGGCTCTCAGAGCTGAGTCTGCCATCTCTATCACATGTCTCATCCTAGTTACCTCCCTATTGGCTCCTTCACAGCCTGCCCCTTGTTGTCTCCTCAGGTGGTCATAAGTCACCTTGCCCTTCAAAGGTGCCCTCATATAGTTCAGCACCCAGCACTCCCAACAAGGGCTTATCACACATCTACAGAGTGGCCAGCTGAGGCCACTGAGTATTGAAGGAACCGGCTTCCCTTTTGGCAGCCATAACAGCCGAACACGTGCTTGCCATAAACCTGCCTTGGTCACGTAGAGGTCAGATGCCTGTCTTGTGACAAGGAACCAATCAGAAGTTAGCTGGTGGCGCTATGCTTTACGACCCTGGGTGTGCTTTACGGACAAGCGCACGACAATGACATGGAGACATTAGCAACCCCCCTGGGAGGGCCTAGGGGCCATAACAACCAGTTGACCAATCAACACAGGGCAAGCCCTCCAAGCCTGGAAGCACACCAATCGTAAGCCTGTGCGTACCCCTAGACACTCCCCTTACGCTGCCCTATAAGATCTTTTGGGAGCCCATGGGAGCCGTCTTTTCTAGCCGTCCGCCATGGCAGGTGGGTGAAAGACCCGAGCTAACATAGGGTTAGCTCGTTAAATTACAATACAGCCTCGTGCAGTTTGCAGCAAGCTCTCCTATCCGCCTGGTGATTGGGGTGACCGCAAACCTGGCCTGAGACCCCGGATACTTGAGTTTTCGGGGGTCTAACAGTATGACCCACCTCTCCTATGATCTCAGAAGACCAAGAGACCCCCCTCCCCCGCCCCTGCAGCTCTATTGTCATTTCTCATGCAAAAGCAAAAAGAGGTGCCACAAAGCAGTGATCTGGGCACAGAGGTGTATGGACTCTGCCACCTCTCTGAGAGGTGGGGAGTAGGAAGAGAGGTCAGACCCCAGAGAGTGCTAAGAAGGAGGGAGGGGTTAGGGGGAGTAGGACCCTTCCTCTTTTTTCTCCCTGCCCTGGGTAAAGCCATAACCATCCTCAGCTGAGTTCACTGGGCTCTTTAAGGCTTGTCTCAAGCTTGTCTGAATAGGTTCATGTACGGGGCAGGAAGAGCACGAAGGCAAAAGGCTTGCCAAGCCGGAAAATCAGTCTGGGATGGTGAAGGAAGCCTGGGTGCCAGATCCTCCATGTCCACCATATCCAGGCAGCACTCAGATTGCTCAGTGGCTTTGAAGGGACCAGCTTCCCTTTTGGCAGCCATAACGGCCGAACACATGCTTCTATGACCTTGTTCTCGACACTAGAAAGTCAGATATCTGTCTCGTGACAAGGAACCAATCAGAAGTTAGCTGGTGGCGCTATGCTTTATGACTCTGGGTGTGCTTTACGGACAAGCGCACGACAATGACATGGAGAACATAGCAACCACCCTGGGAGGGCCTATGGGCCATAACAACCAGTTGACCAATCAACACAGGGCAACCCCTCCAAGCCTGGATGCACACCAATCGTGAGCCTGTGTGTACCCCTAGCCACTCCCCTTACACTGCCCTATAAAGATCTGTGCGCAGTGGCTTCAAACTGTCTTTTGCGAGCCATCCGCCAGGGCTGGTGGGTAAAAGACCCGAGCTAACATGGATCTGGGATGGTGAAGGACGCCTGGGTGCCAGATCCAGTTAGCTTGTTAAATTACAATAAAGCCTCGTGCAGTTTGCAGCAAGCTCTCGAATCCTCCTGGTGATTGGGGTGACTGAGAACGTGGCCTGGGACCCCGGATACTTGAGTTTTCGGGGGTCTAACAGCTTCTGCCCTGCACTTTGTGAGGGAGCACCATGGAGGTCCGTGTCTGTGGGTGCTCATGACTCAGCCCAGGCAGAGTAGCCAGGCATCAAGGCACACAGTGCTGCTCTCCTGGAGAAGGAGACAGCTGTGCAGCAGGGGGCGCAAAGGCAGACAGACAGAGCCCGTGCAATACCCAAGCATGAGCCAGAGATTCGAGGAGACAGAGCATGTGTGGTGTGAGTCCTGTAGCCAGAGCCACAAAGAAGGGGGCCGGGGAAGGCCAACAGAGAACAGAAGAGAGAGACGAAGAAGGAAGAGACTGTTGGAGAAGAGAGGAGAGAACAAGAGGAAAAGAGACAAGAAAAGAAAGGGGTAGGGAGGAGGGCAGAGAGATAGAGACAGGAAACATCAGGTAGAGGTGACCTTGGATGAGGAAGACACCATGTGTTCAGTAAAGGGCCTGAGCTGGGGGGAGCAGAGAGTGAACACTTTGTATCCTCTCACCCCAGAGTGGGCTGTATGTATTCAGTAAAGGGCCTGAGCGAGCGGGGGCAGAGGGTGAACAAAGTGTATCCTCTCATGCCAGAGTGGGAGCCTTATAAAGTCAAGGAAGAGGGCTGTTGGCTCAGCGAGGCCAATACTGACAAAAGGTCCTGGCTCCTCCAAGGCCCAGGCTGGCCCTTGGTCCCAATGGGCTGATATCTGGAGGCTTCCCAGGCCTGGCCCATTAGTCCATTTATCCTTCTCCCCCATCCCTCTGCTGTGGGCTCCTGAGCACTCCCTTCCCCTTTCTGTGTCTCTTCAGAAGCCCCTCTCAATGTTCCTCTGCCCCCCAGAGCTCTGGACCAAGTCTCTCTCCTAGATGGCGGAAGAAGTGGGTGCTGGAAGCAGGGCTCTAGGGGGAGGCAGGGAAGGAAGTGGCAGCTGGGGGGATGGGATCTGCCCAGCCAAGCACAATGGCCTAGTTTTGAGTCCTCTACTCAGGTGACATGCAGCCTGCTAGCTCACCGGTTCACTGGCTTGGGGACTGTGGCTAAGAGCTCCAGTAATGAACCAAGAGCCTGAGACCAGGAGCAGTTCAGGGAAGCAGTCAGGTGAAACAGCTCCCATCCGAAGACAGGGTTTGGAGTTGGAGGACAGCCATGGGGCCAGAGAATCTCTCATTCAGCATCTTTCAGCCTGAGCTGGGATGTTAGCTAAAATGCAGCTGTCTGGACCCTGTCCCGATCCTGTGAGTTAGAACTTTTGGAGGCTGGCTTAGGAATCTGCATTTTTTGTCAGCTCTCTGAGCGATGCTTGAAATGTGGAAACCGGGGGCTGAGCTGAAGCAAAGGGTAGGAGGAAGCTCAGCTCATTCATTGGAAGCAGGCTTTGGGAAGGGGGGGGGGTTGTCCTCCCAGGCATTCAGGGTTACTCTGTGTTGGGTAGTAAGGGACAGAGGGCTGGAACTATGGATAAATGCAGCATCCCC